GTGCAGTGCTAGGAACAGCTAAGATACTGTGCAGAACCCTCAAATTCCCAGGCCTCTGGTAAGGGACCCGAGATTGAGGAAGACACAGACCACCCATAGGGGTGAGAGGGGATTTTTTATATATATTGGCTGGGTCAGACTAGTTCTGTGTGAATGTTACATTTGGCTGAATGTTACATTTAAAAGCTATGCAGGTGAAAAATTCTATTTTTCCCAGAACAGAATTTCTGTGTGCAGGGATACTGTTTTTGTTTAACATGGAGGAAATACAAATAATATCTTCTGTCACTTTCTGAAGTGAAATTGTCCCTTTCTTTGAGGGTTTTCTGAATGATTGTTTACAAAAACCAAAAGATTCAGAGGAGATTTAAAACATTAATCTACCAAATTATGCTGGGTGACAGGCATTCCTCTTTCAAAGAAAATCAGATAGTTTTTTGTTTCAGTCTTTGGTGTTGTCATTTGTTGAACGGGAAATTTCTGAAGTGCTATAAACAAAGTGGATAAATGCTTTTTAAAAAAATCATCTCTTTCCTTTTCTGCAGGTACCCCTGAAAGCGACACCATTTGTGAGAGATGTCCAGAAGGACATTTTTCCAATGATACATCATCCAAAGCTGTCTGTCAAAAACACACTAACTGCAGCGCCCTAAGTCTCAAATTGGTGGAGAAGGGAGACTCCACGCATGACAGTGTATGCCAGGGAGAAGACAGTGACAAATTGGATCAGCAATGTAAAATCGGTATGTATATAATCTGAAAAATAAAATAATGAAATTCCTTGTGAGTCTACAGCCAATGTGCAGTTAGGAATACAGTAAGATTTTATTTAGTCTTGGTTTTGGAGTGAATGAGACCAATCTCACCTCCTGAACTAATATGCAGATTGGAAAATTATTATCCTGTGAAAGGGTTGTCACATAAAAGAGGGAATGGAATTATTCTTTATCGCCCCAGAGGGCAGAAGCAAAACCAGTGGGTTAAAACTACATGGAAAGAGTTTCAGACTAAATGTCAGGAGGAACTCCGATTGTATAAGTTGTCAGCCAGGGGTACAGGATGTCATATGAACTGGGAGAGAATCCTTTGGTGGAGGTTTCAAACCAGAATCTGGAATGTCATCTGTCAAAAATGTTCTAGTGGATTCTGCCTTGAGCAGGTGGTTGAACTAAATGACCTCTAAAGTTCTTCCAAATTTATGATTCTATGAAATAAACAAATGTGAAATTGACATGGGCCAAAAATACATCTTTTCAGTTCCTTATTTTCGGCATACTCTCCGTTCTGCTGGCCTCATTGTCTTTGCCTTTAAAAGAATTAAATAAGGGCTTTGCACCACAATATACTCTACCTTATGGCGGCCTACGATGACATCTTCTCTTTGCTGGCATACTTTGTGGATCTTCTGCTGTGCAAATGTAGAGACGCAGTTCCTCCAGTGAAGCAACGCAGTGCAGATGCTCTGTTTGAAGTTAGGTGCCATCCTACTTCAAAAGGGTGCTTTACACACTTTATCCCCCAAAGGAAGCACTCTGCCAAAATTTGCAGGGTCTTAGCTTCAAAAGGAATCTCATTTTTTTTCAGTAGGACCCAGTCCTTGTTAGGTCTGCATAGGATCGCAGCCTTCAGAAAATCATGCTGGGAATATTATACTCTCTGAAAAGATGTGCAGGCAGTTGCTGATGGCTGCCCCAAAGATCAACGTCCTGATTTTAAAGTCAATATCTTTATTATTTTAGACGTAACCTTATGTGAAGAAGCATTCTTCAGGTTCATTGTTCCCAAAAAACTAACATCCACCTGGCTGAACACTCTCATGGACAGTCTGCCTGGCATAAAGGTCAATTTGGAAAACACCGAAAGAATTAAACAAAAGCACAGCCCACAGGATCAGACCTTTCAGCTACTGAAGTTATGGAAACAGCAAAATAAAGACCACAGTATGGTCAAGAATATTGTCCAAGGTACGTATTAAAGAAAAGCAGGGAATTATGTTTATACACTGGGTCAGTTTATGTAAGATGTTTGCTCCTGACTGTAGATTAAATCACCACAACAGTCAAAGCAATAAGCTGAAAGTGGCCATTGTGGCTCTGACATCAGTAATCAGAGCAGCTTCTGAAAGCATAAGCCACGTGGCCACGTATCACATCTTTTAGTTATGCACTGGAGAGCTGAGAGCATGAAAAGTATGAGACCAACTGCAAAGCAACAGATGATTGGGGGGTTATTCCTCCTTTTTTTCCTTTCCCTTTAGTGTTGAGTAGGGTGAGGGGATTTTCTCTGGCGGCTGTATCTGTAGCAGCATGGGGCAAGATAAGGATGTCATCTTCACTATTTGAAGTCAGTGGAAGTGACCAAACCATCTTAAAACTGCTTTGAAGGTTGGAGGTGTTGAAAATGATGGCTCATTGAAAAGTCTTTTCATTTAAAATCAGCTTTCTATGTCTTTGGACCTTTCTCCACTGACACCTAAGCATTGCACAAACATGCCTTGGTCACATCTTCTTCCCCGCCATGTTTCCTTCATCTCATCCCCAGCCCATGAATGGGACAGGCTTAAGTCATCATTAGCTGCATTGGTGTTAAAGTAGAGTTTCCTCCCTTACTGTGATAACCATCTAAAAGCAGCTTCAAGATGCGTAAAAGCAGTTAGACTGTGATCAGGACAAGAGGCATTAGAGAGGCAAGATAGATTAACAAAGGGGAGAGAAAATTTCCTACAGGTATAGTTTTCTAGAGTCAGTTTGGTTAAGGCATCAGGCTAGAAACCAGGAGACTGAGCTCTAGTCCCGCCTTAGGCACAGAGCCAGCTGGGTGACCTTGGGCCAGTCCCCCTCTCTCAGGCCTAGGAAGCAGGCCAGGGCAATCCACTTCTGAAAAACCTTGCCAAGAAAACTGCAGGGACCAATCCAGGCAGTCACCAGGAATCAACACTGACTTGAAGGCACACGCACAAAATGTTTTCTGACAACTTAATTTCAGCTCAGCAGTGAGAAAAAACCACTGTGTCTTTTTCAGTGCCTTGAAGCTGATTTTGACTCCTGACAACTACATGGACAAGTCTATGCAGGTTTTTTTTTTTTTTTTGGTAACATTTTTGGGAAGTTTGCCATTTCCTTCTTCCTGGGCTGAGAGAGAGGAACTGGTACAGCCAGCTGGCTTTGGGCCTAAGGCAGGACTAGAACTCACGGTCTCCTGGTTTCTAGCCCATGCCTTTAACCATTACACAAACTGGCTGAGCCAAAAACGAAGCTTCTTTTAGAGAAATATGGGATTATTATATCAGCTTGGAATCTAATTTACTAAGATGGCATTGTGATCACCAACTCAGATTCCCTTCCATTGATTTTAATTTGCAGGGTAGATTTGCTTATGATTTCAAGAAAGCATTGACAGAAAGAAGGCTTAACTCCACCAATATTGCAGCAGAGGAGACAGGATGGAGACAGGATACAAGGAATCGTATTTTTGTAACCTTAATGAAGAGAATTAAACAAGTTTAACTCTTTTTTTAGGTATCGATCTTTGTGAAAATAGCATTTTAAAGCACGTTGGCCATCTCAACATCACCTTTGAGCTGCTCAATATCCTGATGGAAAATTTACCAGGGAAAAAAGTGGGCAGAGAAGAAATTGAACATATTTTTAGGATGTGCAAATCCACAGAACCAATTCTGAAGCTCTTGAATTTGTGGAGGATAAAAAATAAAGACCAAGACACCATCAAGGGCTTGACATTTGGGCTGAAGCATTTGAAAACATACCATTTCCCCAAGACAACAATTCAAGGTTTCCGGAAGGTGGTGAAATTCCTCCACAGCCTCACAATGTATAAATTATACCAGAAGCTTTTCTTAGAAATGCTAGGAAACCAGATCCATTTGGTAAAAATGAGACGTGGGTAGTTTTAAGTTCTCTGATCTTTCATTTGCCACTTGCTGCTAGCAATAATTAAATGGGGGGAGGGGAATGTTTTCCTATAATATAATGCTTATTTATATTTATATGACTGACTGGGATAGCATAGACTATCTTAGAACTGTTGTTGTTGTTCATAATACTTAAATGCTTATCTGGAATCTGTCTTCATCCAAGAATTCTAGTGAATTCCATGGACGTAGACAGAAATCATAACAAAACACACACACACACGATTTGCTATTTATATTAATTTGAAATCTAAAATGTTGTATATATTTATTAACTTCAATGAGATTAAGGGCTGAAACAGATGACCACTTATCAAATGTCATTGTTTAAACTCTTATGGCCTACTGTGTATAAATGGCCCTACAACTTTATTTTCCAGCTCTTCACAGTCCCTAGCATGGTGTCACTGAAATTTAATGTCAGATCAGTAGACTTTCTCAACAATTTCAAGCAAAGGGGAAAAAAAAAAGGGTCATGCATTCAGGTTTGCTTTGTGCATCTGAAATGCAAAAGCCCCCCTCCCCCTGCCCCAAGTTATCCCTGTTTATATGACTTCATGATGTTATCTTGGTGCCCTTTGCTATCCTTGGCTACTGATCACTGAAGGCTAGTGAGTCTTGGCTAGAAAAAGGGCTAGGCTCCTTCAAATGCAATCCCACAACAGAAGCAAAGCATGGCTCCATTTGCAGAAAGAGACCAGTGGCCATTGATCTTTTACTCCAGTGTTTCTCAAAGTTGTTAACTTTAAGATGTGTGGACATGCTGGGTGGGGAATTCTAGGAGTTGAAGTGCACACATCTTAAAGTTGACAAGTTTGAGAAACACTGTCCTACTCATTTCTCCACTATGTTTCAAACAATTCCTTACTTACATCTCTGTCATGAAGCACATACGAGACTCCTAACCAGTGTCAGCGGTACTCATTTCACGCACAAAAGTTTCAAAGAGTAGCCCCCACTTTTTGCTTCCCAAAACTATGTACAAATGATTGCCATAGGTTCAAACCAATTGAAATGAATAGAAAATCCCATTCTATCACAGTGGCCAATTTTGTGTTTGTCCATTTTTTGCCACTGTGGTGTTCTCCAGATGGGGAGAGGCTGCAACTCCCAGAATTCCTAGCCTGCAGGTATCAAATTGGGCAAACTAAATTGGCCTTACTTTTCAACGTTCCTACTAGTTTAGTCCCAAATCTCCTGCTGCATTTACTTCTCTTGAATGAGTTCGAGTCAGTATTAGGAAACAATGTTGTTTTTTCTACTTTCTTCCACCCAAGGGGAATCTTTTTTAAAAAAATAACCTACCATATCCTTCCTCCTCCCTCCAAGCCCCTGATGCATTAATCATCTTGTTCTTTTACTAAAAACACAAACTCAACCATATAAAGCCATTTTTGCCTCATTCCAAGTGGCACTGATTTGGATCAACATGGCAGGCTTGAAGCTTGCTCCAAACAAGTAGTTGCAATAACTATTTGTTGAAAAAAAACAACCAGTTATTTTGTTTTCTTTTGCAGTTTAATCTTGAATGCATGAATGAATCTTTAATCTGAATTTTAAGTAGGTTGCAGAACTCTGGTGATGTCATCAGAACAGCAGGCTGTTTAATCTTTTGCACTGTCTTCGGCTGACTTTTAACTTTGATAAAACTTCCAAATTGAAAGCTTTTCATCTGTTTTCACTCTCAAATTTACAGAGGGGAAATGAATGGAATGTACACTGTTTATTTTCAAGCTAAAAGGGATGGGGAGATATTTATATGTTATGTTTTGTAGTAGATCTTTCCATCATTCTTCCTCTGTGGATTTTTAAAGATTGTTTCTTAGGTTTGTCTGTATAGAATGTAATATCTTTTGGAAATAATTTCCAGAAAAAAACATGTTGAAAGTAGATTATTCAGAAGCTGTACATTTTGTTTTAGAACATGAATGTACCATATTTAAAAGATGGGTTTTCAAGTTGGATTTTTGACCATGTTTTATAAAGCTATTTTTTTCATTTAATATCTATGGCTCGTTCCTTTGGTCCTTCTGTCTTAGAGCAGATAAAAACCCTGTTCTGGCCATTTCAGAAGTCAAAAGGTGGAGGGACCATCATATTACATAGATATGATCTCCACACTGTGATGGCTGAATATGATTTTAGTTCTTCCCACAGCTAGATATTGCTGACAGTCAGCCTTCCCAATCACCTGAAGAATTTTAACCTGGTTCAGCACGATATGGTTACCACCTCCTTTCAACTTTTCTTACCTTATAAAAATCCCTCTAGTTTCAAAGTTGACAATGCTTACATAGGTGTAAAACAGGGTTTCTCAACTTAGACAACTTCCAGAAAGGTGAACTTCAGCTCCAGGCATTCCTGACAATAGGAACGCTGGATGGAGAATTCTGGAAGTTGAAGTCATATTTGAGATTTGCCCTGTTTGGAAAACACTGGTCTAAAATTATGAACAAATGATGCTACATTGTACTGACTATGTTCATGTAACATGCTAATCCATAGTTAACTGACTCATAGTTGGCTGAATTAGTACAATTGTTTGGATTCATACAACACTAAGTTTACTGAATGTATTTGCACAATGCATTCAGCTACAAACTAGCTAACCATCTTTTAGTGTAGCATTGTATAAACTTAGCCTCTGAGTCAGAACATGGTTTTCTCTTGCCCCATATTGGGTTGGATCCAGACTTAACTATGAGCATATGCCTATTGAACTCAATTTAGACATAACAAATTCTGACAATGATCTCAGAGAGACTGCCTCAACTTGTCTACGTCTAGAGCTAGCCCAGTGTATTTTCTAATGATTGGTAGCTGTCTAGATTCTCACAAAAAAATTTCCCTATCACCTGATACCAGATTGTTTAGCTGCAAACTAAATTTGGGACCTTTTAGAACAAATGTGTGTTTAAGAGCGAGTTATGTCTCTCAATACAAACAAAAACACAGAAAGGGGACCAGCTAAGCAAAGTATAGAATGGAAGCATTCTGAAAGCAATTCAGAGTCCTGTTAGATTGGAGCAACATATAATAATATTACTGTAAAAGAGTATAATACATGCAATGATCACAGGGTCAAATTGTCCAGGTTAGGAGTATTTGATGGTCACCCCAAAGGTTTGAAACCAACCAAGGTAGCTACATAGTGCATAAGTTCAGAAGCATAGGAACATACAATACAAAGCTACCTATACTGAATTAGATTACTATATCCTTCTAGGCCAATATGGTCAATTCTACTTTTGTTCCATATAGTACTCAAACATGGTTTTCATTATGGTTCACTGAGTAAGCTAAAAAGGATGAGTTTATCCATTGCACTCAATGGTTTACACAACACAATAGTTGGGTTCACCTAAACGTAATTGGAGTTGCATTAATCCGTCACCTATTAGCAACTGTCCAGGGTTTCAAACTGGAGTTTTTCAAGCCCTACCTGGAGATGCTGGACATTTAATCTGGGACACACTGTATGGAAAGCCAGGACAATACCATGGACATATAGATGCTAACCTTTGAAGCAGTCCATGTATACAGACTTTACAGTATTATGCTCTGCAACATTTAGCAAGTGGTCAATATTAAAGACATGACAATATGCAAGATTATTGTTTTACTTTCCTTCAGTTGGCAACCCTAATCCAGGGAATTCTGTACCAAAGAACATCTAGGAATTCTTTGCATGAGATGGGAGGCTATATAAATATGATAAATAAATAATAAAATCCCGAGAGTTGTAGTCTGAAACAGCAAGACTTAGAGTCTGTATCTCTTTGCTGCGATCTGGTGGTCATTC